TGCATTATATACAAGTAGTAATCGAGTTGAAATATTATATAATAGTAATAAATTATAGTATATTTCAATAAATGAATGTACGGTACAGTACAAGTGTTTCATTAAAATTTTGAAAAATGCCTCACCTGTAGTGCTTTTCAGCTTTTGTTGTTTATTTATTAACATATGGAAACAGAATCACCATAGTCCTCGAAATTTCAAAATTTTGTTTCCCATCATGACAATTATTTCAATTTCTCGTTAATTTAGTAATTTATTACTCATTTTCTACGGCTCCACACAAAATACTGTAGGTCTGCACCTACCGATACTCCAAAAGCATACATGCGACATGGGCAAAAATACCACCATTCGTTCAGCTCATTTATATTATCTGTTTGGATCATCATTTATACATTTCACAGCAGAAATTGTGGAGATAGTCGCTCGAATGAAGTAATGATCCAGCTTGAACTTGATAGTAGTTGGTAAAGTTCAGAAGAAACCTTTTACACCTATATGTAACCAAAGATTAGATACTATAAAGATGTGTCACTCTGCGAAAATTATGTCCGAGATATTTTTATAGCCGCCATTTTGCCAGTAAGTGTCAAATCATAGATATAGCGCGAGCATCGCGATGGCAACCTATTGTATTCAGTCCAGTGAACTAAAAATACCTGGAACGCTACCTCCAATAGGTTTGGCTTATGATCGGATGAAGCCAAATTTTACCTCCAGCCGCGCGTGTTCTACCTCCAGACACGCGCGTTTGTGTTGCGAGACATTCTCGCGAGACCATTTCGGCAGTGACTTGAATGTTTTTCTTGGGCGAATGGGTCGAAAATTGTCGTTTATTTAGGGTTTTAAGCTATATTTTTGTATTAGAAGTGCATTTAAAACATATCTTGAACCCTACCGACTAAAATTGCAAGGACGAAAGTAACCGATTGGAGACAACAAGTGCATATTTGAATGACTGGAACGTTTATATGCAGATGACACTTGAGAAAGATAAGTAATTCTTTATCTTATAAACGTATTAAATATGTATTTATAACAACTTCATTGATTGTTAAACAAGACAAGTCTGTATCTATCACTTTGTTTGCCTTCGTTGACCACTTTTTCTTTGTATTTCTTGCCGAATGTGAATAATCCCAACATGAAATACTTATCCGCGAAAAAAACTTTAATGTTTATATTTGTTATTTTGTACTTTTAAAACTTAATAAATACTCTACTACAAAACATAATTAAACTGTGGATGGTAGTTTGATATTGTTAGAATACCTTTTTCCTAACTTTCAGACGAATAAATTGGAAAACGAACGAGCAAAATAGGGAATTTCACACAAATATTTCACACTTTATATGATTAGACCACGGCAAGCTCCACTCCTCGCTCGACGTTTTTTCTCAAAAAAGAAAATTTAATTACGATTTCTACACAAACAAATTAAAAATATTTTACTCTAGAGTTTTGAAGGATTTTTTTATTGTAAAAAATGTACTGTCAGGTGCATTTTAAGTCGTTTTAAACGATGTTTTAGTGCATATTTTTTACCCAGTTGTGAAAATTTAAAAAACCCGCGTTTTTCCGTTACGTGAAAAGACTGGGCATGACAACAGTGGGCATGCCTGGGCATGGCTTCACATTTCCGGTTGGAGGTATCGTTCCAGTTATTTTTAGTTCAATGATTCAGTCTCGCCGCCATTTTGGCAGTAAGTGTTATGCACTCGTCATCTCGCGTGATCACTCGTGATCAGCACGGAAAATTACGGACACGCAAACATTAGGGAAATACGTCGAGTGACACATCTTTATAGTATCTAATCTTTGATGTAACTATGTACTCCTTTTTTAAAAATTATAAAGATCAGTGGCTCTCTGGTCAGGGGGGAGTGGGAAATGTCGCCCGCACGCATTTGAGCTGTGGTCAGTTAACGTACCATGAGAATAGTGGACGTGGAGCCATTGAACTATAAATAAACTGGAAGGCTAACTCAGGGGGGGGGAAATTGAAGCCAGTGCATTTTAGTTTTTCTGAGTTATGAGCAGAAATACTCAACACTGAACGTTGGGCTGTATACCAAATTGAAGCTATTGAAAAGCGCTATTTGGTGTAGAAATTTCAAGACTTTAGCTAAAAGGGAAATATTGAAAAACTACAAACATAATTACCGATAATTTGCCGTTTTGCGGTTGTTTTTGTATTTTTTAAATATTTTTCTTTTCGCTGAAGTCTTGAAATTTCCACAACGAATAGCAATTTTCAATAGCTTCAATTTGATATATTGCCCGACGTTTGGGGTCAAGTATTTCTGCTCATAACTTAGAAAAACTATTTTGGCTTCATCAAATCATAGGCCTTCATCATAGCAGTTAGCCTTCCAGTTTATTTATAGTTCAATGCGTGGAGCTCGAAATCCGCCATGTTTTTGCGGACACTTTTCATTTGCGAGCACGATCTCCAGATATATATAGTAGAGCTCAGTGGTCAAAACGCTGTGGAATCCGACCGCCTGGCGGTCGGAATAGCTGATTGGCTAATTTACAAGGGAATGGGTTGTGATTGGTCGGTCGCTAACATGAAAAGATTTGAAAAGATCAGAATATATTTCAACGGTAAATCAACGCATATACTATGCATATAGTGTAATATTCTAAATATTTTGTGAAGTCGAACGACAAATATACTAACAGTATCTACCGTCTAAAATTAAAACTAGAGTGGGATCGAGTAGAGCAGACTTGTCAAGTACTTCAGCGTTGTGTCTTTCCATTGTAACATAGGCCTATAATACAATAATTTTTACACTATTTACGTTTCGTGATATAAATCATAATAAAACTGATACAATTATACACATAGGCCAATGTGTCAGTGCAATAGTGCGTTTATATTTGCATTTCGATAACATAGCACGTACAAAATATTTTATTTAGATTTTAGCATTGTATGGCGGTTTCAAAATGTATAAACCACAGGCGGCCCAATTTCGCAAGGGTCAGTATAGACTTATAGTATAAATGTATATTATATTAATGTATATTATAGTAAAAATATGTCATAAAATATAAATTTTAAAATGAAATTGACTTGCCTATTTGATAGTGTGTGTTCTCCTTTTATTACTCCTTTGTTGGACTAATATTTCCCAAGACTTTGTACTCGATGTTACTAGGATACATGAAACGTGATAAAGGCTAACGATTCCCGATCGTCAATACGACGGCACGGCACTTCGAATCGAAAATTATCACACTCAAATCGCTTTATTCTCCAAACAAATTCGCCAGCATGTACAACAAATGCCGTTCTTCGAAAATACAGAGGTACTTCGGCGAGATGTACAAGTTTTGGACCATATTTTAACAATGGAAATCAAAACCCATTTTATATTGAACTTACCCGGACCGAAAATTACTACGGCGAACGTCTGCGCAACCAGGCCTCCTTTACCGTTGGATTTACAGGGGGGGAGGATGCCACTAATATATTCACGATAATATTTCGAATTAAAGTATCATGTTCTAAATTAAAGTATCACTTTCCAACAAAGAGCCGCTGTAAATTTCTTCAATCTCCGTCGTTTAATTTTCTTTTCTTCGACAACATCTCGAGTTTTATACAGTATCCGATCGAAGGAGTTTTTGTTTTGAATATCAAATTTCAAATAATGTAAACAGTACGCGGCCGCGATTGGCTGGCTGTTACCGGAAATATCTGCTTCCCCCCCTGTAAATCCAACGGTAAAGAAGGCCTGGTTGCGCAGACGTTCGCCGTAGTAATTTTCGGTCCGGGTAAGTTCAATATAAAATGGGTTTTGATTTCCATTGTTAAAATATGGTCCAAAACTTGTACATCTCGCCGAAGTACCTCTGCATTTTCGAAGAACGGCATTTGTTGTACATGCTGGCGAATTTGTTTGGAGAATAAAGCGATTTGAGTGTGATAATTTTCGATTCGAAGTGCCGTGCCGTCGTATTGACGATCGGGAATCGTTAGCCTTTATCATGTTTCATGTATACTAGTAACATCGAGTACAAAGTCTTGGAAAATATTAGTCCAACAAAGGAGTAATAAAAGGAGAACACACACTATCAAATAGGCAAGTCAATTTCATTTTAAAATTTATATTTTACGACATATTATTACTATAATATACATTAATATAATATTGCGTAATAATCAGCACAACGGCAACCAATCAGCGTAGAGAATTTTCAATAATCACCTATGTAATTATACTAAACATTTATACTATAAGTCTATACTGACCCTTGCGAAATTGGGCCGCCTGTGTATAAACTGTACGAGTTTGGTCCTGTTTGGATGCAATTCAACAATGGGACATGACATGGCCATTGCCAAATTTGCGTACGCAGGTTTTATTGCATTTAGGGAATGTGTTGAAAATGTTGTATTATTACTAGCTGTAACTGTTTGAGTGCAAGGTTAAGAGTACAAAAAAGCAATATACTGCATGGGGTTACCAATATTTTTAATATTTATTCAAACTTTCAATAAAGTGAATCGACAACTTTCGTTGTATTTTTAGGTGTTAATACATGTAAATATGTCAATCATCATCGTTAATTATTGCAAAATGCAAAGTGGGCGGTAGAGCGTTTTGACATGATTTTCATCAGACCTTCGTTTTGCGCTTCCCACCGCGAATTTTAGGGCGAGCAAAACGAAGGTCTGTATTCAGGCTACTATCTAGTGTATATAAGATATCTATGAAAGTGATCCGTTGTGTTTTTATGTTTTTATGGCTATAGATAATGGCAACCGCATGGTATTAACATCGGCGTTAACGGGAGGGGAAGGGAGGAGAATGGGGAGGGTGTTCTGCGAAAAAATCTTTTTATATGTCTTGCTTTTTCGACTATTTTGATATCATTATTTGTCTGCTTTTTAAGTAGAATCTGCCTGACTTAAAAATTATTAGGAGCAGCAGCCCCAAGCTCCCTCTCCGTCCCAAGAGTTGCTGAAATAAGTTAATCTCGAACGTTCTGTGTCAGTGCAGGTAGTGACGATAAGAAGAAACTACGGATTGATACAACTACCTGAAAAATACAAGGAGAACTTCAAACTGAAATAAATTATTTTAATGACACTGCGAAACATGAGCGTCTTGAGTTAAGTTGCAATGGACCTTTCCCCTTATAACTAAAATTTCGATCTAGACAAAAATTTCATCACAGCTCGAAAGAGCATCACAAAATTAGTAACATTCCCAAGTTTTGTTGCAAAATCTTGTAAAATGCGGATAATATAGCCCTGCGAAGTTTGCCGTTTTTCAGTCATTTTGTATTACAAACGGGAAATTGACATCCGATTCGGGTGTTGGGGCTGCAATTTCCCGTTTGTAATGCAAAATGACTAAAAATTGCAAACTTTGCAAGGCTCTATTTTCCTCATTTTACAACATTTCGCAACGAAACTTTGGAATATTACTAATTTTGTGACGCTCTTTCAAGCTGTGATGAAATATTTGTCTAGACTTGCCTAGATCAAAATTTTGGTTATAAGGGGAAAGGTCTATTAAAGATGCGGTACAGTCCGTATGTAAACAAAGCCTTTGTTTACATTTCGGTATCCAAAATATAGAATCTTATTCGACAACTATTTCTATTTTCATGTTTCTAGAGTATAATAAATTATCAAGACACAACAATCAAGCTTTGCAGGAACATAAAATGAAATAAAAACCTAAATAAACTGTTTGTATAATAAAGAGGGCTCTTTTGTACACATGCGCAGATCGGACTGTACAGCATCTTTACCACCTCGCAAGCCTGGCTCTCTATTTCCGCTTTCCTCGGTAACACGCGGAGCGGAGATGTAAACATGGCGGCATTCTGATCAGCTGGATGAAATTTGAGGAGGATTATGCAAATGATTCGGTATAGAAGGTACTGTAGATATTTAAATTTTGATAACTATATTAGCACCCTGGTGCCATTGCTCTCTGCATGTAAACGCCATGGGAACACTTCATGTAAACATTTTATATAAGGCCTGGGACGAGGCATCATGTAGGATAATTTGTTGATCTAAAGTTGTCTCAGTAAAGTTTTACACTTTTGGCTCACGAAGTTGTCTTAAATTTTTTACCTGTTGCTCATCCAGGAGGTTCCAATCTTTTAACTTTATTTTCCAAGCGTCAGAAATGACGAACAAAATTGTAAATATTGTAAGAAATAATCAGAAATTCAAATTAACTTCTGTCAATGAAATTGGCAACAATTGCGAACAAATAACAACAGTAAACCGTTACAGTTTCTTTTTTACTGACTAATTTTCGAAATATATTCCAAATCCCAACGTTCGTAGCTCGTTGCATATTCAATACAATAATAATTTTCTATTCTTTAGTTTTTACGTTACATTAAATTAAATTAAACAGCGTAACCTTTTTTGGGACACACAGTAGATCGCAGGAACACAGTTGGACATGAAAGAGCAGATTAGCGTGGTGACAGAATTATACACCTGAAACAGTTAGTACATAATTAACTTTGATGAGAAAGTGTAAAGTTACATTGCATTTTCTATACGTGATTGATTAGCAACGTGCATGATTATTGATTATTAATACGTGGTTGATTACAATCGTTGATTATTATATACGTAGTCGATTATTGATTATATACTTTATCAATTATATACGTCATCGATTATTGATTACATACGTCATCGATTATTATTTACGTTGTAGCAATGACTTGTTGATTATTATACACGTCATAGCAATTAATGACCATCATTGATTATTATAGACGTCATCGAATATTAAATACGTTCGTGTTTGATCATTACATATGTCATTAATTATTGATTACATGCAGGAGATATAGTATGAATAAGAAAATGAAAACAAAATAAAACGATCGATGTTTACCTCCAAAAATACAATCCGCCATAATAAAAAAGGTCGCGGTATATTAGTGATCATGAAAACAGTTCTTGGCCAATTTAAATCTGCTGCTATAACAGTTAAAAAATGTTTGACATACTCACATCAGTATGGTGAGAATTGACTTCTTTTGGTCGAAATTTTTGGTCTGCAAAGCAATGTGTACTATTAAAAATATAAAATTTCATGTCCGCGAAGCAGCATGGCGAAATCGACATATCGATCCGCGCTATCTTTCGATCGGATTGGATTTTGTTTCTGTTCACAAAAATATAGGACCGATACGGAGACCGCAATCCATCAAAAGAAAGCCAATCCTCACTGAATTGATGTGACACGTCAAACATTTTTTTATTGTTATAACATAGCCAATTTAAATTCGGAAAGAACTGTTTTTGGGATCGACTATACCACCCTATATTTTAACATTTTATTATATATGGCGAATTGAGTCTCCGACGCATGCTCGTGAATTCAGCCAGGCACAAATGTAGGCAGCGCCGTTGTAGCCGCCGGTGTAGACGCCTCTGGTTGACTCTGGATCGATTTTGAACGGACGTAAACACTGACATTGTGATATGCTTCATCAATATTATTACCAGCCACAACACCATGCACGCTGCCATAACCTTGTCCAGCAACCTTTACACCCACACCGATTGCTTGTGGACCTGAAGGTGTACATCCTGCTCCTAGATAAAATTAAAGTTTGAAAATAGAATTGATTTGTGCACACGCTAGAATGCAGATTTCATGCAGCTGCCTGCCGTACAAGGCTGTAGTAACTGTGGAAAAGGTTGCCACGAAACAACGAAACCATTTCCGATCAAAAGGTAAGTCGCGTATTTGCGATGAAGAGCATTCAAGATTTACGATGTGATTTTGGAAACACGAATTTCGTAATGTTACAGGTCGTGCCACTAAATATTTGCATTTTCAAGCCGGTAGAAAAAGCGTTGGCTTTGCAACAAATAGAGAAATGTTACTATATAGTATTTTTCTTAAACTTAGCCCTAGTGTTGAAGCTCGTCAGACGCCATTTCGAACGCATTTTGTTTTGCTTTGATTTTTTTTAACAATTTTTGTGGTGACAATTATCGCACGCCTGCTTGTGTGGGAGCGTGGTTACTATGTTTCGCGCATGCTCAAAGAAAATTCCTACCAGTTTATATTAGATTGCTCTCTCCTACCTGAGTTGTTAAGGTTGACAATTCCTATGCGAGCCTGAACATAACTCGGATCGCCAACGTTGAAACCAGTTTCATAACAATTTCCCTCGAAGGCTGGATTTGTGATACCATCTTCCAAAGCATTAATCCACAGGTCTTTGGATATATTTAATGTGTTCTTTTGAAAAAATAAACTGCGAAGTGATGGAGCCTGGACGGGAAATTGAATACTAAACGCATCCGAGGTCAAGCATACTTCTGTAACGTTAGCACTCCAGAACTGTGAATTGAAGTTGGTCTGGTCATTTCCTTTTGCAGTCCAAATTGCAGAGTCGTAGCTTGTATTATCCTAAGACAATGAAAAGTTATAGCATTTGATTCAGGGCGAGTCGTACCCTAGTTACAAAAATCCAATGACCTTGCCCTTATATTAACATTCCATTTTTTGTCGCCACGTTGGTGTACAAACTTGGTAAACCAACAATGCAAAAAGCAATTGATGTGGGCTAATTTCAGCCATGTTAACCACAAATAAATGAAGAATGACATAGATGGTTTTAGTTCGCTATTTATTTTTAAATAACAAAGAAAAGAAAAAAGAAAACTATAGACTAAAGTGAAGGGAAGGCGCGAACGCTAACACACGAATGAAAGCAATATGATGAAAATTGTCGGCAAAATGCTTGGTATTTTTCTTTGACTGCTTCTTAAATACCATAGCTCTAGGTCAGAAATTGTGTTGCAAGTTGTAGCAAAAATTACTCGATATAATACCATTAGGGGAATTTTATCAGCAAAAAATAAAGAAAAACTAATTTACATTTCTTACCGCGACTGAACGACCCAAGTATTGCCCAAACTGAAAATCATATTTGGGTTTAGTGGCATTTTGATGCCTGCCGAGGCGTGTTCTAATATATATAGTGTTCTTATATACGGCTATTTACTTACGATGGAATTGTCGCCTTTCAATACCCCGATGAGCGTCCATCCACTTCCTGTACATCCTGATCCAATATATTCCCCGCCAGCACTGTGGCATTCTGTTCTTTCAAAACCAATGGTGGTTCTTGATTTGATTAAATAACGTCCATCAGTTCTATTTCCGCTATAAAAATTAACAAAGCCAAAATAAACATCCGTCGCCGTTTACAGACCAGCATGTTTTCTATAACAAGTTTTATTTACGCGCGTGTATATGGGCAACTTTCCCAATTTTTACTGTGACAAGTGCACTTAATCAAAAGCTAGTATGCTGGTTTTGAACAAAGGCACTTGTCCAACATGGAAAAAATTGTACAAATTCTGTTCGTCTGTACGGGTCAACAAAGAAAATTTGGCAAAGTAATTTGAGCACTTGGTCATAGAAAATTTGTTGTACGTATATACACGTACAATTTATATATATATATATATATATATATATATATATATATATATATATATATATATATATATATATATAGATTGTCTATATCTTAAAATTAAATATCGCTACTCTGAGTTTCACGTCCTTTCTAGACGATCATCAGGCGATTTCGCCTTAGGTCAATTTATCTGAAGAGTGCCACATACTGTGGTACGAAACTATTTAGTAATAAAGATGCCTAGTGGATTTTGTTGATTTGTTGTACCTTAACTTAATTTATATATATATATATATATATATATATATATATATATATATATATATATATATATATATATATATATATATATATATATATATATATATATATATAACATATATATATATATATATATATATATATATATATATATATATATATATATATATATATATATATATATATATATATATTACAATCTGCAGACATGCACGCTTCGTCAGTGCAGCTCGGTACACGTCTAGATACGTGAGACAGTCGTATTTATACCCCATGTACTTGCTGTCATCAAGGCATGTGGTACAACACGGTGAATCAACGCATCCAGACATGCGCAGAGTGTAATGGGGCCAGAGTGCTCAAACGACCGCAAGGGAAGTGAGCTTTGCATTATATATTATATATATATATATATATATATATATATATATATATATATATATGTTGTGGTATCTACATAAAGATACCATGCAAGTACTTTACTGACTGAGGGTGAGGTTCAGTCTATCTACAGCAATGAGCATAATGTGATGCTGTATATCCAAAAATCTGTTTCAGAAAATGCAGGAATTGCAGTCCTAGAGGTTGAAAAATACAAAAATTTTCTGGGGGAGAATACCCCCGCAGGCTCGCTACTATAAAATGCGATATTACTCCAAACCTTTTGTTACCAACAACCATCTATCATTTCTCCACACTCAGTATAGTATGGTCCCTTTTTGTAGATGTCCCCACCCCACTGACGAATTCTTAAATAATTCCCTGACTCCTCTAATTACCACGAAGCTTATATATAAACGTTGTAGAAATGAATTTAACAAAATAATCAAAGCAACTAAGGTTCAATTTTACAACACTAAACTACAAAACAGTAAAAATAGTAAAGAAGGCTGGAATACATTAAATAATCTGCTTCACAACAAAAAATCATTTTCTTATTAAGAAAAAAATTTCTTAATTTAAGAAAAAAATCTTAAAATAAGAAAATAATTTTCTTAGTAAAAAAAAATTTTCTTGAAATAAGAAATTTTTGAATCCCAAGATATCTTTTTCTTAAAATAAGAAAAAATTTTCTTAATAAGAAAACATTTTCTTAAAATAAGAAAATACGATTTTCTTACTATCTTAATAAGAAAACATTTTCTTAAAATAAGAAAATACGATTTTCTTACTTTAAGAATATGTTCGTAAGACAAGAAATGAAATTCTTAAAATACAAAATTATAAAATAGTAAGACATTATTACTTAAATTTCTGAAGCAAGAAAATGTAAAATGCTAGTGTTATAGACAACTTATATCTTAACAAGACTTAGAACAACGTATATCTTATTGCGTCAGGTAAATTTGTAGTTTTTATTTCGAATTGAAGAGACTATATGACCGGCAGCTCACGGTTGATCAAACACTAAATGGTCGGCAGTACATTGACTATATAGTTAAAGTTGAATCTTCAGTATAAGATAGATAAACCGATCCCCAATCCCAAACCCTTCTCTAACCCTAACCCCTAACCCTAACCTTTTGAGAGTAAGACCGGCTGCCGGTAATATAGTCACTTTGTTTTTATTTCGTTTCCAAAATTTGAGCTCGTTTTAGTTTTATTGAATCGTTGAAGATAATTTTTGCCCTCCGGAATTTTTATCCGCAAGCAGGAATAGTTCGCCATAGTTCGCGTATTCACTGAACGCCTGGTACCTAGTTTACCTTTCAGAACGCGGAGCATCGCGGGATAGCGTCGTTTTACATTTTTGTGAAAAATTTTATATAAATATCCATGAGCCGATGAGCGCCTTCAAGGAATTTTAAATGGCAAATAACGATGGGAAAAACATCAGAAAGTCCTTAAAATGTTGTTCAGATACCACAGGTAAGAATAATTGTATATTTGACTTGTTATTTAAACAGATTCATTGCGAAATAATGTAGTGATTATGACTGTTTACTTGAGCGAAGTGTGAAAATATTCCATTGAATGTTTGAATTTGCCGCGTTTGTTTTGCATATAAAACATGCAAATGTTGCTTTCAGGCAAAGGACGAAAGATTAAAATATAAATTCATATCTATTATTGTGAATTCCATACTAATTTACGCACTAATATTAACAATTTGACAATACTAAATTGCCTTTGACATTGGCAGTTTGCTAGACCTTTTCAAATGTCAAGACTCAAGGCTATATAGTGATATGAAATAAGATATTATACATACGGATGTTTTTGAAGATCTGTTAGCATTTTAATACTTGAATAAGGATTGGAATTACAGGAGAATGACCGCATTTAATCTGATATTTTCAGTGTATAGATAGCTGAATAACTGAATTGCATCCTACTTTATTGTTTACTCTGTCTAATGCCAGAGGATTTTCCTACTTGCCTTGCCGGATAACTTGGCTACTGTAGAGAATGTTTAGTTTTCCCGACTTACTATACTTCACCCGGGAAACTCTGCAACCCTAGATAGAATGTATATGTATATGCCTTTCATTTAAAATAATAGCCCAAAAATACATACAAATCATTAGGTATGTTTATAGCTTTCCTCTATTTCTAGCAGCATATTCTTGCCTATTTTGTAATCATGTTTTTTAAACCTTTTGAATGATCCAAATTGTGTTTGTATTTTGTCATTGCGCAGCAATAATGGGGTAACTTGATTTCATATAAATAGACTGCTTTTTGTCCTGCCTGGGTGAGTAACTCACCTTGCCGGGTAACTCGCCTACTGATGTACTGATATCCATATTGGTGTATCAGTCATCTTTGAATTTCGTGAAATGACATGTATTATCGGTATCGGCAAAGTATTGGTCTTTTATTATCAGTTATCAGAATATCTGTGAATTTCCATATATTGGTGCATCACTAAAACAGTTCAAGATTGTGTTTATATGAGAAAATGCCATCCTGTTCGCCGGGACAATTTTGTTATGTTGACATTGTTTTGACAGTTGTTAAAAATAGGTTGCAGCTCGGCATCTTGAACATTCATCCTGGCCCAGCCTGCTTGTGAGTGCATATGTGGAGAAATTTTCATCCCAATAAGCAACATTGTGGCATCAGAGCCAGCCTGCTTGTGGATCCATATACTGTAAACACATGATAATTTTTTCTAGATAAATATACCTAATGCAGTAAGATCTTGCTTACCGGGCTGTCCCGCTAAGCGGTCCAGCCCAGCTTCCATATAAATACATTGTACAGCTGGTTTAAAGAACCATGAACAGCAACCGGAAGTAAACTATACTGGCAGTAACTGTGTGATATGGTATTGGATAAATTTTCATCCCAATAAGCAACATTGTGGCATCAGAGCCAGCCTGCTTGTGGAGCCATATAAACACATGATAATTTTTTCTAGATAAATATACCTAATGCAGTAAGATCTTGCTTACCGGGCTGTCCCACTAAGCGGTCCAGCCCAGCTTCCATATATGTAAATACATTGTACAGCTGGTTTAAAGAACCATGAACAGCAACCGGAAGTAAACTATACTGTCAGTAACTGTGTGATATGGTATTGGACAAATTATTACATTTCTTAATATTGCAGCTTTGGTGCGTGAATAAGGGATAATAGTCTACTGGGCACTGAGCAGGCTAACTGGGCACTTGCCACAAGAAAATGATAACTGAA